CTTTGCAGATGATATGAGGGTATACTTAGAGAATCCTAAAGAATCAAGTAAACAACTACTTGAATTAATAAACAACTTTCCCAAAGTTGCAGGATATAAAATAAACCCACATAAATCATTGGCATTTCTATACATTATTAATAAAGCCCAACAGCAAGAAATAGAAAGAGAAATTCCATTTAAGGTTACTGTAGATGTTATACAATATTTGAGAGTCTACCTGCCAAAATAAAACCAGGAACTATACAAACACAATTACAAAACACTTTTCACACAAATAAAATCATATCTAAATAATTAGAAAAATATTAGTTGCTCATGAGTAGGCTGAGCTAATATAATAAAAATGACAATTCTACCTAAATTAATTTACTTATTTAGTGCCATGCAAATCAAACTACCAAAAAAAATCATTTTATAGAGCTAGAAAAAAAACAGTAACAAAATTCATCTGAAAGAACAAAAAGTCCAGAATATCAAAGGAACAAATGAAAAGAAATGCAAGGGAAGGTGGCCTAGCTGTACCAGATCTTAAATTGTATTATAAAGCAGCAATCATGAAAACTACTTGGTACTGGCTAAGAAATAGTGGTGGATAGGTTAGGTATGTAAGACACAATAGTCAATAACTATAATAACCTACTATTTGACTAACCCAAAGACCCCAGCTTCTGGTATAAGAACATATAATTTAACAAAAACTGCTTGGAAAACTGGAAAATAATATGGCAGAAACTAGGCAAAGATCAACATCTTACACCCTATACCAAGATAAAGTCAAAATGGGTACATGATTTAGATATAAAGACTGATACTATAAGCAAATTAGGAGAGCAAGGAATAGTTTACCTATCAGATCTATGGAGAAGGGAAGGATTTAGGACCAAACAAGAGATAGAGAACATTATGAAATGCAAAATGGATGACTTTGATTACATTGAATTGAAAGGTTTTTGCACAAACAAAGTCAATGCAACCAAGATTAGAAGGGAAGTAGAAAGCTGGGAAATAATTTTTACAGCCACTGTCTCTGATAAAGGCCTCATTTCTAAAATATATAGAGAACTGAGTCAAATTTATAAGAGTACAAGTCATTTCCCCATTGATAAATGGTTAAATGATATAAATAGGCAGCTTTCAGAGGAAGAAATTAAAGCTATCTATAGTCACATGAAAAAATGCTCTAAATCACTATTGATTAGAGAAATGCAAATCAAAACAACTCTGAGGTACCACATCACACCTATCAGATTAGCTAACGTGACAAAACAGGAAAAAAATAAATGTTGGAGAAGATGTAGGAACACTAACGCACTGCTGGTGGAGTTGTGAACTGATCCAGCCATTCTGGAAAGCAATTTGGAACTATGCCCAAAGGGCTATTAAATTGTGCATACCTTTTGACCCAGCAATAGCACTTCTAGGTCTGTATCCCAAAGAGATTGTAAAAATGGGAAAAGGACCCACATGTACAAAAATATTTATAGCAGCTCTTTCTGTGGTGGCCAAGAATTGGAAATTGAGGGGATGCTCATCAATTGGAGAATGACTGACCAAGCTGTGGTGTATGAATGTAATAGAATATTATTGTTCCATAAGAAATGATGAGCAGGCGGACTTCAGAAGAGCCTGGAAAGACTTATATGAATTGATGCTGAGTGAAGTGAGCAGAACCAGGAGAACACTGTACACAGTAACAGCCACACTGGGTGATGACTGACTTTAATAGACTTGGCTCTTCACAGCAGTGCAAGGATCTAAGACAGCTCCAAAAGATTCACGATGGAAAATGCTGTCCACCTCCAGGGAAAGAACTGTGGAGTCTGAATGCAGATGGAAGCAGACTGTTTGATCTCCTTTCCTTTTGTTGTTTTGCTTTATTTCTTCTTTCTCATGGTTCTTCCCATTAGTTCTAATTCTTCTTTACATCAGGACTAACTAGAAATACGCTTGATATGAATGTATAAGTAGAGCCTACTTCAGATTGCATGCCGTCTTGGGGAGGGAGAACGAGAAAGAGAGGGAGAAAATTTAAAACTCGGGGCAGCTAGGTGGCGCAATGGATAGAGCACCAGCCCTGGAGTCAGGAAGACCTGAGTTCAAATCTGGCCTCAGATACTTGACACTTACTAGCTGTGTGACCCTGGGCAAGTCACTTAACCCCATTGCCTAGGGAAAAAATAAAATAAAAAAAAATTTTTAAAAACCAACAACAAGAAGAAAATTTAAAATTCAAAATCTTATGGACATGAATGTTGAAAACTAAAAATAAATAAATAAATTTTTTAAAAAGTGAGGTGTCCCAAAAGTCTTAACGCAGTTTTAAGCTTTTATAGCTTAAGCTTCAATACCTATTAAAGCTTAAAACTGCACTGAGACTTTTGGGACACCCTGTATAAATGTCCCTTATTGTTGTTGTTGTAGTTGTTACTGTTATTCTTGTAATATTACAAAATGCTCTCCTTAAATTATTTCTCCCCATTAGAAGGCAAGCTCCTTAAGAGAAGAAATTGTTTCATTCTTTGTCTTCATAGCTGCAGCACCTAGCATAGTCCCTGGCACATAGGAGGAGCTTTAAAAATGTTATTTTTGTTGGGCCTCACAACAATCCTGTCAAGTAGATCCTATAGGTATTATTATTCCCATTTGACATATGATAAAACTGAGGCTCAAAAAGGTTGACTAATTTGCCCAGGGATGGGAAGGGGAAAATGTTTAAGTGTCAGAGACAGGATTAGAATCCAGGTCCTGACACAGAGTGCAAAGCTCTCTTTACATACAGCCTGTGTGGCTTCATTGATGAACAGCATCCAAGTCAATCAATCAGGTCTTTATTCAGTGCTTGCTCTGTGCCAGGCACTATGTTATAAGCATTGGGAATACAAAGAAAAAAAAAGAGTCCTTCCCTTGAGAAGCTAACACTCTAATACGCAGTGCTTACATTTCATCTATAAAATGGGATAATAACAGCACTGCCTCCCAGGGCTGTGACAAAGATAAAATGAGATCATTTTTATAGGGCATTTTGCAAATCTTAAAGCCTTATGTAAATGCTAGCTACTGTCATCATCAATATTATTATTATTCACAAGGGGGACTGGACTTCTGCCAGACCCCAGAGCTTAGGCCAGGGGCAATGGGAAGCCAGTTCCAAAGAGTAAAATCAAGCTCTTTGCAGTCCAAAGATCCTGTCGCAAAGGAGAATGGGCTGCCTTTTGAGGTGGGAGGGTGGGGTTCCTCGGAGGTCTTCAAGCAGACCCTAGATGGCCACATGCAGGGAACACAACAGCTGGGAATCCTTTCGGGAACTGATGTCCAGGAATGTTTTAGGGTTAGAAAGAAAAGGATTTAGAAGAGGAGATAATAGAAAGAAGGGGGTTCATTTGTAATAATAACTTATTTAAATGTCACAATAATTAATAATGATAATAATAGTAATAGTTATATAGTACCTACTCTGTGCCGGGCACTGTACTAAGTGCTTTACAATTATTATTTCATTTGATCTTTACAACAACTATCATAATCTATTATTATGCTATTTTTGTTTCCATTTTACAGTTGAGGAAACTGAGACACAGGTTCAATGACTTGCCCACGGTCCCACAGCCAGTGACTATATAGGACTGGATTTGAACTCAGGTCTTCCTGACTCCAGGCCCAGCCCTCTATCCACTGAACCATCCAGCTGCTCACTAAGTATAGCTTCCTCTGTTCCATGTTAAGGGAGAAACCAATGTCAATAAATATAATTAGAACCTGAGTATAAAATAAAATCCAGCAAATTCCAAGCTGCATGGTTCTACATCTGCTTATATATTGTCTGAATTGACACAGCAGGACAAGCATCAAAGATTGTGTTACACTTTGCAAACCTTAAAGCATTGTGTAAACATGTGCAATAATTACGTCAGTGGATTCAGACCATGAATATGAAGATTAAATTAAGGAAGTCTGCATTCCCTCTTCTTGCCTGGTCCTGCAAGTTCAGAAGCTAAAGCGAGCAGCAGAGCAAGGATGCTGAGATTGACACTGATGTCGATACTGACATGGATGCCGATAGTGACCCTAATGTGGATACTGACCCTGATGCTGACACTGACACTGATGCTGATATTGACACTGATGTCGATACTGACGCGGATGCCGATAGTGACCCTAATGTGGATACTGACCCTCATGCTGACACTGACACTGATGCTGATATTGACACTGATGCTGCTTTACTGATGCTGACTGGTGGATGCTGGCACTGTTGCTGAGGGGAAGCATTGGTCTTTAAGCACACATGGAAATAAGTGAGGTTCTTCATCATCTCCAGCTATTTATTATCCATTTCAATAGTTAAAGAATGGTGTGGCATAGTGGATTGAGAGTTAGTCTTGGAACTAGGAAGACCTAGGTTCAAGTCCAGCTCCAGATGCATCCTGGTTCTGTGAGGCTAGGTAACTCACCCATTCTACGCCCTAAGAAACTCTCTAAGGCTCTCACATGTGGCACAGGGACTAACCCGCTTTTGCATAAGGCATTTCCTTTTCTAGAGGTTCCCTGTATTAACAAAGTCAGTCTAATCCTTATTCTAATCTCCTCGAGTTGAATTCGCTTGGAGTCAGGAATGGAAGACTGGAGGGAGAGAGCTGCATCTCTCCTTACCCCAGCCAGGCAGATGCACAGGTCTCGGGACTCTCTCAGTCCATGCGGTTTTGTGGCGGTGGTCATTGTTATTGGAGGGACTTTGCTTTGTTATTTCTCACCCCCTTCATCCAGCAAAGGAGATTTTCAAAGTCAGCAGAGTCATCTTGGAATTGTGAGAATGATTCAAACCAGAAAGGCATCGCATCTAAAAGCCCCACACTCGCTTTGCCTTGGAATGCATTTGGCAGTTACACCCTTCGATAGTCTTTTCCAGAAACAGAACGCTGCCCTGTCGTGATCAGCTAGAAATAAAGCCGGTCTATAACCCGCTGCCCCATCTCCACATCCTGCAGAGCGCCCCCTACCTTTCTGATGATCTGCACCCCCTTCGGATCCTTGATATTGACCGCGATGCTCTGAAGAGACAATGCAACGATCCATCGGTCAGAACGGGGACAATCCGCTGAGCTGTGCCCTGAGCCGGGACATTCTGCTTACAGCTCCCTGTCTGACAAGTGACCTATTCTTCCCCTAAAACTTAAAACCCTTTTTTTACCAAATTCATGGCAATTAGAATGTGTCAAGATAGGTTTTTCTTTTGGACCAGACCTTTGATTTCATTAGTGTGGTGATTTCATTGTCTCCCTTTACCAGTGATATGATCTACCACACTCTGAAAGTTGACTGGGGCAATAAGAGGTTAAGTGACTTGTCCAAGGTAATACAGCCGGAAGCGAATAAGGAAGCACTTGAGTTCCGTCCTTTCTGGATCTGAAGTCTGTTCCCTCCCCAAGGCACCACATTGTCTGTACATCATGCTGGCTTATTAGCAAGTTAGAGTAAGGTTTATATAATTATATTATTATTTATATTTTAAAGTTATAGTATTCTTTATATTACTGTATTGAGTATTCTACAAATGGCTGCCCTGCCTATTAGCCAAGAGACAACAACATTAATGATTTAGGTAAGACCACCCTCTTGCATTCTAGAAAGGAAGATTAGTCAGGTCCAGAGTATGCCGGACATGCCTCAGAAACCCAAGGCAGGATCAAATATAGAACATACACTTAAAAATGTCTTGATGAGTGAGATGGTGTCATGGAATTGGGAGTCAGAGGGCCTGGGTTCAAATCCTGACATTCCTACTTTGGATCACATGCTAGCAGATTTAAACCTGCCTGGAAGGAACCTAGAAGAGTTGAGTCATTCTTCTGATGAGGAAACTGAGGCCCAGAAAGGTCATCTAGCTGGTAAGTGTCTGAGACAGGATTGGAATCCAGGTCCCGACTCCAAATTCTGTGCCCTTTGCACTAAGCCTCTTACTCCTTATCACCTACATAGTCTTGGGCGACTCACTGGCCTCAGTTTCCTTTTCTGTAAAATAAGAGGGGTAAGCTAGATGACCACTAAGGTTCCTTCCAGTTCTAGATGTGTGAGCCCATTTCTGGATAGGAACTCTCAATTCTTCCCCTAATTTAAGGTTTTAAACTAGAACAAAAAAAATTTACATTCATCTGGCAATTCTATTTATATATGAAGAGTGACTGAGGCTGTATAATCTTGAGCAAGTCCCTTTACCTCTCTGTGCCTCTGTTCCCAAATCTGTAAAATAAAGGGGTTGGACTGGATAATCTCAGAGTCCCTTGCCATCCTGAGGTTCTATGATTCTCCATAAAAATATTCTAGTAAGGCAGATTTCATTATCTTAAATTCATTCTTATGAGGGGAAAAAGCCAAATAAAGCATCCCCTTTGCTTACCTTTTTATTTCGGTTAACACTGAGGAAATAAGTACTCTCTGATCCCACAAAAGGTGGTCCCCAACTTCGAGTATCATCACCAGCTCCTAGAAATCAGAGCAGCCTTCTCATGATTTCTGGCATTTTACCTGAAAACACCCGAACGCCCTTCCAGCCCGGGACAAGCACTGCCCTCTAGGCTTCCTAGAGACCTTGTAGGCATTGGATTAGAGAAATGGAACCAGCTGAGCCCAATGGCCCAGCTCCGGCTTCTTCTCTCACTGCAATGCTTCAAGGGACTGGAATTTATTTAATCAGTGTGAGCCCTCCTCCTGCTGATTTGATTCCACTAAATCCAACAAGCATCAGTTAAGCACCTACTATATTCCAGGAACTAAGCTAGGCACTGACATAACCAAGACAAAATCAAAGCAATCTCTCCCCTCAGGGAGCTTCCCTTCTTCACTAAAGTCAAACATGAAAATATAAAAATCAAGTCAATAAGCAAATCAACAAGCATTTATTAAGCATGACTATGGACTGAGAATACAAAGAAAAGCAAAAAAAAAGGGAAAGAAGGAAGGGAGGGAGAAGGGAGGGAGGAGAGAGGAAGAGAGCACAGGAAGGAGGGAGGGAGGAAGGGAAGGAGGAAGGGAGAGAGGAGGGAGAGAGGGAGGGAGGGAGGAAGGAAGGAAGGGAGGAAGGAAGGAAGGAAAGAAGGAAGGGAGAGAGGAAGGAAGGAAGGAAAGAAGGAAGGAAGGAAGAGAGGAAGGAAGGAAGGAAAGAAAAGAAGGAAGGGAAGGAGGAAGGAAAGAAGGAAGAAAGGAAGGGAGAGAGGAAGGGAGGAAGGAAGGAAGGGAGAAAGGAAGGAAGGAAGAGAGGAAGGAAAGAAGGAAGGAAGGGAGAAAGGAAGGAAGGAAGGGAGGAAGGAAGGAAGGAAAGAAGGAAGGGAGAGAGGAAGGAAGGAAGGAAAGAAGGAAGGAAGGAAGAGAGGAAGGAAGGAAGGAAAGAAAAGAAGGAAGGGAAGGAGGAAGGAAAGAAGGAAGAAAGGAAGGGAGAGAGGAAGGGAGGAAGGAAGGAAGGGAGAAAGGAAGGAAGGAAGAGAGGAAGGAAAGAAGGAAGGAAGGAAGGGAGAAAGGAAGGAAGGAAGGGAGGGAGGAAGGAAGGAAGGAAGGAAAGAAGGGAGGGAAGGAGGAAGGAAGGGAGGGGGGAGGGAGGGATGTTGTTGACAAATGAAAAAGATCATGAACCACATAAGCTGAGCCTTTCCAGGCATTTTTTCCATATGATCATTGGTTTTGAGCTGGAAGGGACCTTAGAGGTCACCCATTTTACAGCTGATGAAATTCTAAGGGACTCATTGAAGATCTTACAGTCAGTCATTTCCAGGCACTCTGTCCTCTGCACCACTCCCTGTGCACTGATTTCATCAGGCCTTACCCTCCTAAGGTCACTCCCTGGAACAAATCCTCTAATGTCCGAGTAGGCGAATTGTTTTTGAGGAAAACTTTCTTAGGGATCGTTTTCACAAAACTTTGCACATTGTACACATTAATGAATGTTTATTGAATCCAAAATAAGAAAAGGAAAAATCTGTGTGTTTAGAAAAGTAAAAGAAAAAGGAGAGCAAGGTTCTGTTGGAAAGGGTTGTTAATCTTCACCCATTTTTTCTGGTCCAATGCATTGTGCTAGAATAGCTCCTTCTGGCTCCTCGCTCTTACTTGGCTTACTCTTTCATCCTTCCTTTCTCTTCTTTCTTCTTTTCCTTCTTCCTTCTTTTCCTCTCTCCTCCTCTCCTCTCTTCTCCTCATCTATTCTATCATCTTTTCTCTTTTCTCCTCTTCTTTTCCTTCTTTCTTATCCTCTTTTCGTCTCCTCTATTCTATCATCTCTCCTCTTTTCTCCTCTTTTCTTCGTTCACTCTTTGACCTCTTCTCCGCTCTTACTCTTCTCCTCTTCCTTTTTTTTTTTTTTTTGCAAGGCAATTGGGGTTAAGTGACTTGCCCAGGGTCACACAGTTAATGAGTGTCAAGTGTCTTGTCTGAGACTGGATTTGAACTCAGGTCCTCCTGACTTCAGGGCCAGTGCTCTATGTACTGCGCCACCTACCTGCCCCTCTTCCTTTCTTTCTTGCCCTATTTTCCCTGCCTCTCCCCTGCTTCTCCCAAGGGTCACAGGGATATTCCCAGATTAGCTAAGGATTCTTCCTCTTTCCAGTAGTCAGCTGCCAAGGCCTGGTTTCTGATCGGAGGCTGGAGGCCCAGGCTCAGTCCTAACTCTTGGCACATCTGCTCTCTGCTCTGCACTCTATTCCCAGGGCCCTTGCCCAGACCTTGGTTTGGGGCTGGGTACTTAAGTTTCCTCCCAAACCCTGACCCTTGGCACCTCAGAGGGTGAGGGAGGTCAAGGCTGGTCTCCAAGTCAGGGGAGGAAGGGCAGCACTACAGGTCCTTTGTCTTCCCACTTCTAAAACATTAACAAAAAGGTGTGGACAAGCCACGCAAAGAGCTGATGTGTTACCGACAATATTTATTCATTAATAAAAACACAGGAACCATTACCTGGTCGTTCCACCTTAATCACCTCGGCTCCAAGGTCTCCTAAGTTCATAGTGGCAAAAGGTCCTGCCAGTACTCTGCAACATTTAACATGGACAAATAAATTCATTGCCTGCCAGCAAAAAGCCCACTTGCTATTTCTCCTCAAAACTGGCCACCCCAAACTGGACACATGGAGACAAACCTGGTCAGATCCAGAATTTTCACACCATCCAGGGGCTTCACATTGTCAGTATCTAGAAAAAAAATACCAAAAGAAGACTTTTTTTCTTGGCCTTCTACATAATATTCATTTCAAATTACCCCCTCAGGAAATTAGGACAGAGGTGGGGGACAGGGAGCAGTCTTTCTAATAGTATTTTAGATAACTTCAAAGGCTAAAAAACAATTGTTGCTGCCATCTCCCTGAAAAATGTGTCCGTTTGGCATTTAAAACCTAAAGCTTCCAAGAGCCAAGACATGAATGAGCCATGGGACACAATGATAATCAGTATTTTTATGGAGTAATTTTGTGTAATTTTTTTTAGCCTGTGCAAGACACAGGGGATACTTGGGCACAACAGGCCCAAGTACACTAAAGATGTTGACCTGATGAGCCAACGAGGGAGAGGGTCCAACGACCCAAACCAGTGGGAGACACAAAACACAAAGCCCGACTCTAGGGGGAGGAAGAGAAGGAAAGAAGGAAGGAAGGAAGGGAGAAAGGAAGGAAGGAAGGAAGGGAGGAAGGAAGGAAGGAAGGAAGGAAGGGAGGAAGGAAGGAAGGAAGGGAGAAAGGAAGGAAGGGAGGGGGGAGGGAGGGATGTTGTTGACAAATGAAAAAGATCATGAACCACATAAGCTGAGCCTTTCCAGGCATTTTTTCCATATGATCATTGGTTTTGAGCTGGAAGGGACCTTAGAGGTCACCCATTTTACAGCCTGTCACAAAGTGACAGGCTAGGCACCCTAAAACTACAATGGGGCAAACCAGTGTAAACAGTACAGTTCTAGGTGTCTGCAATTTGGAAATAAAGAATGAAAAAAAATGCAAATAAAATGAAACTGAACTCTGTGATAACAATGACCAAGCTCAGGTCCTGGAGAAGAGATGAAACCCACCTCCACTGAAAAGGTGGGGGGCTCTGGGTATGGAATGCTGCAAACACAGTTGATAATATTGGTTGGTTTAGCAACAGATTTTTTCTTTCACTTTGCTACTAAGGAAAGCTCTCTGGGTAAGGGAAAAGAGACGTATTCAGAAAAGTATTTAATATAAAATCAAACATAACGTGATACAAAAATCAATGAAACCATTACATTATTTATGCTTAACCACATCCAGAGAGAAAATTAATTGTTCGACTTCTTTGAAGTCCTTAAGAACTCTGAGCAGTTCAATGACCAAGCATGATTCCTGACGACCACAGACGAGCCGTGCTAACCACTTCCGAATGGAAGGAGGTGAGAGATTCAAGATTCAGAATGAGACATACATCTTTGGACACGGACAACATGGGGATTTGTTTTGGTGACTACCTCTAAAGGTATAAATAAACGTATATCTCCATTTTGAATTCGTAGATATGTTCATGTGTACATTTGCATATATATGTACCTACGTATGTGTATATTGTTGTTCAGTCATGCCCACTCTTTGTGACCCCATGGACCTTAGCACGCCAGGCCCTTCTAACCTCCACTCTCTCTCGAATTCTGTCCAGCTTCATGGTTGTGGCTTCCATGAGGCTATCTATTCATCTCATCGTCTGCTGTCGTCTTTCCTTGCCTTCAGCATATGTGTGTGCACATATAATTTATCCATAATTTTGCCTAAAGGCAGCTAGGTGGCACAGTAGATAATAGAGCATTGGGCTTGGAGTCAGGAAGAGTTCAAATCTGGCCTCAAACACTAACTGTGTGACCCTAGACAAATCACTTAACCTCTGCCTGCCTCAGTTTGCTCAACTGTAAAATGGGGAGAATAGTAGTACCTGCCTCAAAGGGTTGCTTTGAATATTAAATGAGGTAATATTTGTAAAAAAGTGTTGAGCACAGCACTTGACACATAATAATTGGCCCGTAATAAATGCTTGTTTTCTCCTCTTTCCCTTTATTTGTTAGAAAGGTTTTGCTTTTCTTTTTTCATTTGGGAGGGGAGAAGTAAAAGGAAGAAAACATAAATGTTTGGTAATTGGAAAAAGTAAAATAAAAGTTACATTGAATAGAACGTGGAATCCCCATCAAAGAAATCGATCAGAAAAGCAGTCCCATGGCAGCCCATTCGCTCACTTAGGAGGGATCACCAACTGTAATAGGAGGTAAATCTCCTCCACGGGGAGGGGGTGGGTGTCACAAAGGTAACCCCAAGTTTTAGAGTCTGGGGGCCCAGCACAGCGGCAGGGTGGCAGCAGGGTCTTAAAGAGGCAAGAGGTAGTGTACATGATCCCAAAGCTGGACGATCACTAGAGATGTCCAAGACACAATAGGGGGGAGCAAAAGACCTAGCCTTTGCCCTCCACTATTACTGCGAATCATTCGGACAGTGCAAGGCCAGTGGGACAGGAGGCAGCCTCTCTAGGAGAAGGGAATTGTAATCCCAGCTGTGGACAAGTCCCCCGTCCTTTAGGGTAGGCTGATATATCTGCATGACCGTAGAGGCCTCGGGTAGTAAAACTGGGATTCCCCAAAACGGAGGTGGTTGCCTACCCAGCGACCCCATGGTATTTCTCTCGGGGCAGTCCAATCCACAGGGCAGTACCATAAGGCTCCGTACATGTATGAGTCTCTTGGCTAAAAGAGGGACTCAATGAAAGGTTGAAAGATCAATCTCTTGGGGCAATCTCAAGCTCATTTCCCTTCCTAGGAGAGTCAAGAACACAAGGGGAATCCTGTGAGTATAGTGGACTTTAGGACCCTGGGGCAAGCCAGATTCACGAGGGAAAAGGAGGATAACTGTATTAAGTATTCATGGGCTGTTGGGAATCCTTGATAGGTTTTACTTGAATTTGCTTATTACAAGGGTTTTGTGTTTTCTTTCCTAATCAGCTGGGTAGAAAAAAGAAAAAGGAAGAAAAAAAGAGAAATGCTTGACAGTTGTGGAAAAAATAACCGACAAAACATGCTTATTGTTGATGTTAAGGTTCTCTTGAGAGATTCATTGAGTCAGCCCTCCAGACTCCAGACTCCTGTGCTGCCCCTTTTAGGTATTGCAGAGCTCTGTAGAGATGTGCTCAACATCAGATCAAAGTATCCTCACCAGGGAGCATCACCTAGCCCTGTTCAGGTGCCCTCGGTCTTCCTGGGCAGCTAAGTGGTACAGCTGATAGAATCTGGAGTAGAAAGGGTCTGGGATCAGGAAGATTCATCTTCCCGAGTTCAAAGCTGGCCTCAGACACTTACTAGCTGTGTGACCCTGGGTAAGTTACCTAACCCTACTGGCCTCAGCTTCCTGGTCTGTAAAATGAACTGGAAAAGGATTTGGTAAACCACTCCGGGATTTCTGCCAAGAAAACCCAGAATGGGCTTGGACACAACTGAAGCAAGTGAAAAATAACAAATGCATCTTTCACTACTACCATGCAGGTTACTCGGTCACACACTAGGTCTTTTACTCTAACACAATATAAACTGCTTGAGAGATGGGACTGCTTCATTTCTGGCTTGTATCCTCACTGCATCCTACATACAGTAGGCATTTAATAAATACACGTTGGCTGGTTGGGTGTTTCCTGCCACAGCCAACTGCTCAGAAGAAGCTGCTGGGCCACATTCCCAGAATTCCACCCTCGGGGCTTCCCCCTCCCCTACCTCCTCTCCCCCTCCCCCCCCCGGGGGGGGGGGCCCTGTAGCAGCCACAGCCTTTGGTGTTTTTAGGTCAGCTTTCCTTCCCAAAGCTGGCTACGCAAAACCCAGAGGGTGAACTTTACCCAGGCTCTTAGCTGGAGAGCAAGAAGATAAGACAAGTAAAGTAATGATAAACATTTACTTGAAAAACTGTATTTGTATTGAAAGAAATATTTACAAGTTTGGCCATCAGTATTTTTATGGAGTAGTTTTGTTAGCCTGTGCAAAGAGCTCTCATTGGACTTAAAACTGGAGAAGCAACTAAGACTCGTCTTGCACAACTCTTTCATTTTATTGATGAGAGAAGTGAGGCTCAGAGAAGATAAGGGACTTGTTCAGGGTCATCTAGCTAGTAGGGAGAAACATTGGGATTTGAACCCACATCCTACTAATTGCAAAGCCACAGCTGCTCCCATGACAGCTGGCCTCTCAAACTGGGCCCTTCCTGGGAGAAAACAGTCTGACTTCTTTTCCAACCCAATCCAATCTATAGAAATAATGGGTTTTTTTTTTTTAAATCTATTTGAAAAGGTCTATGTTTAGTACTTTAATTCTGAGATAGCGTAGAGCAGAGGTGGGGAACCTTCGGCCTCCAGGCCCCTTTGGGGCCACACTTGAGGACCTAGAGGGCCACATGTAGCCTCGAAGTCAAAGGTTCCTCACCCCTAGCCTAGAGAAGGCTTTCAGGTCAGAGTAGAATATATTTTAGTTTGTGGTACATGCATAAGAAAAAGTACTGATGTCAAATATGATATCTTGAATGGTTCTCATAAAGATTAATGCAATCTCAGTACACCTAGTTTTCTGCTTAGCCTAGAGTTGAATACGATGTTCTCTTCCTGGGTAGGAAAGAGAAAGATAGAGACAGCGAGAGAGAGGGGGAGAGAGAGACAGAGACAGACAGACAGAGGAAGAGAGACAGAGACAGAAAGAGACAGAGACACAGAGAAAGTGAGACAGAGACAAGAGAGATAGAGACACAGACACAGAGAGAGAGAGACAGAGAGATTAACTTAGGTCACCCGCAGTTGCTCCAATAACAAAGAGAGGGCAGGGGAGCAGTGACAGCTTCTCTCCCCTGCTGAGACTTCCTGAAGCAAACACATGCATTCCAAAGAAACAGGGCTTCTGGGATGGTGTTCAAAGTCTGGTCACATTACAGTGATATTGCAGAACTTTTGAAAAGAGATCAAGAGAGCCTGTGTAGCTAGCTAGCTATACAGAGGGCATCCTGGTGTTCCTAGGGGCCTTGGTGATTCCGTAATAACTTTTCATTATCAGAGCTGACCTTGAGGTAGCACGTTGAAGATTTACAAAGTGCTTAAACCTATTTAGTCATTTCATGTGATCCTTTGCATGCTCTGTATATCAGTGAAAAAGCCTTGTGTGCTAGGCCAAGTTGCCAAGAGGT